TGTCGCCTCCCCTTTAAGTAGCTGTGAAGCCAAGCAGCCAGGTTGCCCTTGATCCCAAAGTCAATCTCGAGTTTATGCAGCAATATTTTATGCGATACACAGTCAAAGGCCTTTTGAAAGTCGACAAAAACCATGCCGACAACTTTACTGTTATCAACCGCTTGTCTCCATTGTTCTGTCAGTTTTATAAGCATTAATTCAGTAGAAAAGCCTTTCCTATAAGCCCATTGGTTTTCAGTGACTAAACTGTGCTCGTGGAATGTATGGTTGACGATTCTCTGAGAGACCGTTGATTCAAGGATCTTGCTGGGTATACTGAGAATAGAAATTGGCCGATAGTTGCTCATGTCGCTCTCATCGTCCTTTTTGTGGATAGGGCTCAGCCTAGCCACTTTCCATTGTTCAAACACGTAGCCAGATGTTAGACTTTCACAATAAATATGGTATAATGGATGGACCAACGCATTCCCGGCAGTTTTTAGAGTTCTAGAAGAAATCTGGTCGGGACCGGTAGCTTTATTCCATTTAAGATCTGATAAGTACTTTTCAATTTCGGATTTTGATAAAATAACGTCTTTGATAACAGGAACTGACTTTAATGTTGTGGCAGCGTTGACTTTTGTGAATGAAAAGTTCCTTGTTAGATTAATTCCTATATTAGAAAAGAAAGAATTCATCAAATTTGATTTTTCTTTACTATCGACTGCCAGAGAACCGTCTTCCCTCTTCAAGGGTCCAATAGCCTTTCTGAGTTTTGGTGCAGTGGCATTGCGAAGAAGATTCCAATACTCCGCAGCGGTTTTTATTTCAAGTAGTTGGTTCTTGAAATGTTTAGTTTTCGCCCGACGTACGTCCGTGGTGATTTCATTACGTAATCTTTTGTATTCCTTCCATTTTGTATCTTTTGTTGTTGATTTCGTGATCGCTTTCACAGGAATCACTGTCGATGTCAGCTCTGACTTTCTTGGACTCTGATGTCCTGTCGGTTGTTACTTGCTTCGAATTCCAAATACCGAACAGCTTTTTGTGCTGCTTTATTTTGTAAGATTACAGACGCAGCAACGAAACCTCTTCGGAGTCATTTCGTAACGTCGAACACGATAACCTGTGAGGTCACTATGTGACCGCTGACCTATGATGGCTGCGATGACCTAAGGTCACCACGTGAAAGTACCCGTGATTTACGAAGAAGTGGCGGTTTTTTTCGTACCTCGAACGGAATGGTTCCATTCCAATTGCATTTCTCGTAGTGTTTGTGTAGCAGTCTCTTTTTTTCCAGATCAACGCAATGGACCGTCTGAAAAGTTTTTTCAAAGAGGTTTCCTCAAGATGAAGTTATCGATATGCATTACAACGTGAAGGGGTAAGTTCAAGCTTGGTCATCTTATTACGCGTAAACATCGGAGCGCGCGCGCTAACTATTGATTTAACTTGAAAATTTTTATTCTGTGATCATCTGGCGAAACATCACAAGAGTTTGTATGGAAATACTTACGACCGTTCTTAGGAATAAAAAATACAGTCAAATTCTGAATACGAAATACCTCACCTCACTTCCACAGTGCGTCGCTTAATATCTGACGGCTTCATGTTGAAAAGAACCTGTTTTGGCGAGTTATCCATTTCTAGGTTTACTACGTACATAAGAAAGGCTCTTAGATAACTGATGATGTGCTCCCTTTATTTTGCAAACAGTGAAGAGTGTTGGTCTACAAAACTGATGAAAGGAAATGCAAACTTGCTAAAGCAGCCTATCTTGGTCCAAATGATGATGAAGATGCAAATAGTAATGATAACCGAAAGAAGGATGGCACATTCAGGTGGCCAAAACAGAGAGACACTGACATAGTCAGCCATAGATATATCTTCACACATGCAAGAGTGCAGAAAGTTGGTAATTGTTTTGTTGTTAGTTACCTTGAGAGTATTGATCACAAGTGTAAAACATATCAAGAAATTTACATGAATGCTGTTACATAAATAGACATTGCAATAACTGTCCATAACATTTTACACATGATTTTAGACGAAGGAAATGATATTTGAAGTTTAGACAAAAATACATCAAACCAGTGAGTATATTTTCAATAATTTCGTCCAAATATTTTTCACATAAAATTTATTTATAATATACTTTCAAAATAGTTTAAATAAACAGAAATATAGGAGCAGAATCTGTCTCCACAAGGAAAATCAGTGATATCAAAATAGAGCTAAAAATCATTAACATCTTAATTTTATGCAGAAAATTTCATACCAACTTTTTTTATTTAAGAAAGTGTAAACTGAATTATCACAATTTTGGAATCCTAAAGTAATATTTATATACAGCTGGTGAAACAAAATAAACTATCAGAGAATCCAGACTTCTGGTCATGTCTTTCATGTGTGTGTGCTTGTACAACAGGACCAAGAAGTTTCACAGATAGGTTAGTTCTTCAGTGTATAATTTAAGTGATAGTGTATGTATTACAGTTGTGGTGTGCTGCAAGCTATACACTGTAGTACAGTCTTTGGTACAAGAAAAGTGAAGAATTTTTAATTCCAAATTCATAGGGTTTCCAAAGAATTTTCATGGTGCTTGCATATTCCTAACAACCCCATGAAAACTAACTGGCAATTAACTTTCATGTGCCATGAAAAAACCATGTAGAGGCCATGAAAATTCAAGGAAAATTTTCATGGTTTATGAATTTTTTACATATTCACAGGATATTCATGGGTCATGATTTGCTGCAACCCATTAAAAACTAGTGAACTTTGACACCATTAAATTTTGGGCTTGAAATTCATGGGTTTCTCAGTACCTTTGAAAAGGCCATGAAATGCCATTTTCATGGGTATTTCATGGCTTCTAGGTCACTTTACTCAATATTTCATGGGTCGTGATTATGGAAATTTTCACAGGTTTTTCAAGGGATTTTTCAGGTCTTTTTCATGGCACTGAGACCATGAAAATGTCATTGATTTAACCATGAAAATCCTGTGAAAAATCTGTGAATTTACAATGAATTATTTCACAAGATTTTCATGGGTTTTGAGTTCATAGTGTATAGAAGCCTGAGTAGTGGAGTGTCTATTACAAAAACCAAATTGATTACCATCTAGTATATTGTGTTTATCGAGAACATTAACTAATCATTAGCTTCTCCATTATTTTATGGAAAACAGACACCAGAGTAATCGGTCTATAATTGGATACTAAAGCTTGGTTACCACTTTTGTGTAGAGGTATTACTCAACCCAATTTTACACTTATTTGGCACTAGGTCCAAAGAAAAAAAAACAATTAAATAAATAAGATAATGAATAACACAAGATGCTCTTCAATAATTTAGAAAATTTCCCTGAAATGCTATGTGACCCCAGTGCTTTACTTGCATTTAGGCAAGAAATAATATTCTCAACTTCTGCTGGTGATACTGGAGATAAATAAAAACTGTACACTCAGGTTTCTTATCAAAATGTTTAAAATTCTGTTGCTGACACATATCAAAGTTTACGATTATACTGTAACAGCAGATAACGTTAAAGGACTTGAAGTGACAGGTCATTATAGTCAATTTGCTTATGCAGTCGGCAATTTGTGCCTTGCTGCAGTAACACCAAACACAGAACAAATTTGCAGCAGCTGAGTCCATACCGTAAACCAATGCTAGGAATCTCCAGTTAGAACAACAGTAACTGCCAAGAAAGGGAAAAAACTAATTAAATCAAATAACATCCTGCATTAAAAAAGGTAATTTAGTATTGAATGTATCAAGACAGATGAACAGAGGGCCTAAATTTGCATAATGAATGTGGCTGTAAGACCTCAGAAACTTTTTAGTGTAACTTATCAGTGAAGGAGATTATTCAGTTTTTCGTGCTCACGAAGTGCGAAATTTAGATACACTGGGATTAAACAGTCGAGTCAAATGGGAGAAAGTGACAAAAGTGTGCGACTATTTCCATTCGCCTCTGTTTTTTTACCTCCTTTCATTGAGTTGAAATATGAAAAGAGAATGATACCCATGAAACTACATGAATTAACGACGTTCGAGGCTTTGGGTGTTATTACCAGGTTTAAAGCACACGCCAGAGGAAGGAAAATATTCAGCTTTTGGTTCACATTAGGAACAAAATATTCATGCAGTGTGAAATTCAAATACACCCAGATTGAACAGTTAAGCGAATGGTGATAGTCTTCTACATGATTCAATGGCACGGGAGGCTGTGAACATTAACACGGTGTTACACATGCTCTCAATTCCATTGCATTGCACAGTGAGCTTCTAATTAAACATATCTTTTGCAAGTTTTAAGCAATATAAAGGAAAAAACAGTGCCATCTCTCAACTTCATTTACAGAGAAAATCTTGGTTTAGCATTATAAGACACTGTATTAAGAGATAAGTGTATAGAGTTTGACTCACAAACAACTCAACACATGATTACCATGTGTCTTAACCCTTTAACTCTCAAGATTTCATTAGCAATTCTCCTTACTGTATGCCGTGCAATTTATCTGATGTTAGGCTGGAGAATTTGGAATTAGATCAACCAATAATCCCCTAATAGTTATTTTTCTTTATTCTTGTTACTTGTCTGCTTGGTATTGCAATGATCGTGTAAGGAGAAATTCTGTCTTGGTCACTAGTGGGACTAAAAGGGTTAAAAAGGGTTATTTCATTATATTGTAATAATTAAAATTTACTTTCGAATGTAACAAAAAAAATGCGACGAGAATCTGATGTTATGAAACAATGTAAAAAGCTGTTGCTGGTAGCTTATGTCTTTAATGTTTAAATGGCCGTTTTTATACTAGAGACGTTAAAGTCGTCTGGACGCATGTAACGTCTGAGACGTTAAAGCCGTCTGGTATAAAAACGAGACGCATAAAAGTAGACGACTTTTAGGGCTCTTCTAAGAAAGACTGGGCTCTATTCTCGGAGGACACTGGAACGAGTAAACAAGCGCCAAATAAACTCTGAGCGCGCGAATATACAAACAAAATAAAGATGGCCGAATTGCAAATTCTGAAGTCCATTTCTCAACGTCGCCAAGAAAGGCAAGAAATGGAAATGCAAATGTTTTTATCGAGGAAAAATCAATCGAGGAAGCGGCTTTTGCAGACTATGGGCGGAGAACTAGATATGGTTGAAGCACTTGGCTTATGTGCCGCGACTATGAAGAGACCAAGGAAAGAACGGGGTGCGGATGAAGAAAGAAGTTCTTCGTGGTGGAGAAATGGTTACCGAAATTGGGACGATACTGCGTTCAAAAAACGTTTGCGAACAAATCGAGCAACGTTTCAGTTCATTCTTGGTGAGATAGAAGACCAACAAGTCAAGGAGCCAACTCGTTTCAAACTTGAACCGATATCCCTAGACACACAACTTGCCATTTGTTTGTATCGATTGGCCCATGGATGTACCTACAGCACAGTAGGAGACCTGTTCGGTGTTGCAGAATTATTTGCAAGTGTCATTTTTAACCAGGTATGTAAGATACTGGTGTCAACTCTTTACGACAGATGTGTTTACTTGCCAAGAAACAGAGCCGAATGGAAGCATGAACTTGAAAGCTTCCTTGAGAACTGGGAATTTCCATGCGTAGGAGCCTGGAACGGGTTCCATGTTTATGTCAGCACAAAGTTAAAAAATTATTTTAGCTTCAAGAAGAGATATTCAGTATCCAGTATGGGATATATTGCCTCTAATAAGAGGTTTCTTTGGGCAGCTGTAGGGGCTCCTGGCTCTGTCCATGACCCGAGGCTTCTGAAAAGTTGCGGCCTCTTTGCCGAGATTCAGTAGGGACATGTTTTCCCAAATACTGTGCTACGAATAAGGGAGTACGCGGACATACCGATCACAACGGTTGGTGATTCAGCATTTCCACGCTACACGTGGCTAATGAAGCCGTACAATGAAAATACAAGAGATCCAAGAAAGCGCTACTTAAACAAGAGGCTTTGATCGGCTAGAGTTGTGTCAGAGCATGCATATGGTATGCTGAAAGGGAGGTGGAGAATCCTCTACAGGAAGACAGAGTGCAAACTAAAGAACATAAGGCATGTCATAATGGCCTACATAGCCTTGCATAATATATGCATTGCAAGAGATGACCCATGCAGACCCAGGTGGAGGCTGGACATTGAAAAACTGCACCTTATTAGGACCAGGGGGAGTGTGAAGCAAGATGGCGAGGCAGATCAGGTCAGGGAAAGGATCACTAACTGGCTCTGGGATATCAACCAGCAACGACAATTGATGGAGTGGATGAAAAAATCAAAAGAAAATTCTAGCTTGTGTTTCCTGTAGTAAGGCAAAAGCCTAACAACCACTATATCCCCTATTCTACTCCACCACACTAAATAGATAGGGTATAGAACTGGAGACAATGGACTAGAGAGTGGAACTAAACTGTGAGCATTCTTAGTGAGGATTGTAGAACTGAATATCAAGATATCTTTACTGAAGGACAAAATCCTTGGACAATACAGCAATTCAAGTAGGCTGTAATACAAAATGTCTTTTCTGAATATCTTCCGGTTGACTTAAGTAAGCACGTATTAGTGCATCTCAGCCATGTTAATGGAGCTACATAGTGATACCATAAGACAGGTACTAGCTGCATAGCTAGTTGTTGACATTACAATACATGTATCGCCAGTTGGTGGCCCAATTTTATATGTTTCCAAACAGCAACACTTTGGTGGAGGCTACCATGAGAACATGTAACAGTAATCAGTAATCTTTTACTAAGGTCTGATTTAAAAGCTTTGAAAGTAGACTATAATAATAGCCTTAATAACACAAGTCAGTGGTACACAAGAAAGCTTGTTTATTAGCCACTGGAAACAATAATAGTAGTCATGCCAATTGTATGAACTAAGTTGAGGGTATATTAACAAGAGTTAAGTATTCTTGAAGTGATAGAGGTCATTAATTTTCTCTGGTATATTTTGAAGATGGGATAAGACAATATTTTTGTCAGGGGGGGGGGGGGGGGAGGTATGGAAACAGTTCAGCTAACCCTACCACCCCTGGTCCTGAATTTAATGACTGAAAGTAGTTCCTCTCACTCTGTTTTGACCCCTTTCTGATAAGGCTTCCCTTATTGGATCAATATACAGAGCAGTAGATAATAATAGAGATTAATTTAATGGTAAAGATGAAACATGACAATTGCAAAATACCAACTTTGAATGAATTAAGAGTTCTTTCTCAAAAACTTAAAACAACAATCATGTACTCTTATGCAATAATTATGACCTCTATTCACTTGCACCTCTCTATTAATTTGTACCCCCACACCTAACAACCCCCACACACCAACTACTCTTGTACCTCTCTGTATTATTTGTCCCACACCAACACAAAGACAACACACCACTTTGTTTAATATCTTTTTCATACACCCTCTTCCTGTGAGTTGTAAGTACATGTAGGTAACTGCAAAAATATTAACTATTTGGAAACACAACTTTTAGCATAATAGAGTTTTTCCCAAATACCCTACTACAACAATCATGTCTATCAATTATATATTATTATTAGTCTGTGAATGTAGAAAGATTTCTGGTTGTAGCTTGAAGCAACAGCGTGAAGTCTGCCCACATTAACAGCCTAATAAAGTATCTCATAATTGCTGAATGACACCTCTTTAATGGGTTTTATGAAAGTAATCTACCTATTATAACTATTTAAATTTGTGTAGTGTGGTTGTTGACTCTCTGCTCCAAAAAGGCATTTGGAAATGTTGGTTCATGCATCACCCAAGCATTTTGGTATGGTTACATAGGCTGCTGAAAGCGAGTCATCATCTCCATCATACGGAGTTCATGTTGTCGGTTCAGCTCTGCCTGTTTCTCCTGATATTGAAGGAAAGTTTCTTCTCTTTTCTGGTCTGCCTCAAACCAAATTTGCATTATTTTTTCATGTGCTTTTTGAAGATTCTCAAAGGTTGCTGATAACTGGCTGATAGCATCTTTCTGTGAAGTTACTTTACGTTTCCTGGGCCGCACTGACACAGTTGATTTTAGTACCTCCTTCTTGGATGTCTCCTTTGAATCTACTTCACCCTCTTCACAGGAAGACTCTTCACAGTCTTTGCTCTGTGGCTGTTTTTTAGGTTTGTGGTTTTCACCCTGTATAACACATTAAAAATAATGCCTTTTAAGGTCAGCAAAGCTGAAATTTATTTTATATGTAGTGAGGCAAAGTTAAAGGGCTGACCAATAAATACTAATAAAACCATAGTTACCATGTAAAGATACACATAGTCACTAACAATTTGACGAATAGCAATAGTTGTCTATTCATGTTTCATGCACATATTACTGACACAAATTCCTTGTATGCAATTGAATAACATCCATCATAAAATTCATTTGAAAGTCTGGGGAAAATAGTACCAATTCATTATTTACCTGTTACATTCTTCTTCACTCTCATTCCCTGACAAGTGGCTTGCTCAGAACTTGCATCTAAAGAAGACGTACTTGAATCTAATGGCTGCTTCCTCTCACGGGGTACCATACCAGTAACAAGCTTCATTTCTTCAATCGCGTCCTCCTTCTCATTATATTCATCATCTTCACTACTGTCGTCACTGTTAAGGATGTCCGCTGCCTTCGTTGCAACCTTTAATTCTGTGTGAGTATCGGAGAAAATCGGGTCGATGATGGTAAACCACTCAGGCTCATCTATCGCTGATTTTCCACTGCCAGACTTTGCCCTGTCGGTGACTTTTCTCCACTGTTCTTTCAACCATTTATATTTTGCTCGTAGCTTGACAACTGATGTCTCGATTGCCTCCTCTTTTCCTTTCTTAGAACATGGTATGTTCTCCGTCTGCAAACGAGCATCGAGTTCTTTCTAAATATTTTGAAAAATATGAAAATTGGCTGACTTTTTAAGCGTCAGGGTCTCTAAAGTCAACGCAAATTCATTTCGGTCGTCTGCGAGTACAGTTGCAAATACCTTAAGCTCAACTTCGCGCCACTTTCTGCCGCGAGTCTCCTTCGAGTTATTCTTGGCCGCCATGTTGTTTTGAGCGTTCAGCATAACTCGGGCCAGTCGTCTCTGGACGAGATAGGGCGAAATGCGTCCCGGCAAGGGCGTCCCGTTTTTATACTACCAGACGGCTTTAACGTCTCAGACGTTAAATGCGTCCAGACGACTTTAACGTCTCTAGTATAAAAACGGCCATTGTGCGGACATTTCTTGCTGCATTTGTGCATACGGCATGGGAAGAACTCAAATATAGAAATGTATCGCAGCTCAGCTCTCTTGCAAGACACAATTTTCAGGAAACAAAGATTCCCTCGATGTAGCCCATCGCAATAAAATACAAAATGAGCGAGGTCTTTAAAGTACATAAGGGAAATGACAATTCTTACCGTTTGTCCAATGGCCCAGTCCAGTTTTTACCCCATGCCTGTTCCTCTGTTTCCGTTGTTCCAATGGTCCTCTGTGCGCACTGTTCCTCTGGTCCTCTGTACCCATTGCTCCTCTGGTCCTCTGCGCCCACTGGTCGTCTGAAACCGTTAGTCCTCTGGTCCTCTGTATTCACTGTTCAACCGGTCCTCTGTGCGCACTGCTCCTTTGGTCCTCTGTACCCATTGTTTCACTGATCCTCTGTGCCTCTTGTCCTCTGTACCCACTGCTCCTTTGGTCCTCTGTACCCATTGTTTCACTGGTCCTCTGTGCCTCTTGTCCTCTGTACCCACTGTTCCTCTGGTCCTCTGTGCCCACTGTACCCACTTTCCTTACCCTTCTGCTAAATTTATGTTTTAATTATTAGCTATTTCAAAGCCCGGTATATGAGAGACTTCCCAAAAAACATAAAACGTGTCTTGATGAAACTTGCCACGGAAGCACATTTTGAGCAGACGTGATTTCCTCGTTTCTTTGCTGTTCCGTTATTGCTCTTAGTAAACTGATCACTCAAACGGATGAAAATAAAAGGTGAAAAGGTTGAACTTCCTGAAGCAGTATCATCCTGTGGCAGTGACTGTTTAGAAATAGGTGGTTCTTCGAGTTAATTTTCGACTGAAGACATAAGTCGCTGAATCGTGCTCGGGCTAACTGTACTCAGCTTACATATCAAACTCACGGGGTACAAATAGTCTTAACATGAATATAGTAACCACGCCCACTTCAACACCCCACTCAAGTCGAGTATAATTTTCGAACATTTTACCATCGTGCGGATTCTCTACGGAAAAAGCACTCAATGTACCTCTGAAATATTAAACTATAATATTGTGGCTTCCTATTTCGCTTAGGGTGGTTGCGTGAAATTAACAAGGCGTTTTTGTTCAAAATACAACCGAGCGAAGCGTCTCGGGCGATATCCCTTTTACGCAAGCGCAATTTAAAAATGTACCGCTAGAATCAAAAAGAGGAACAAATTTCCTTTGTTTTGATATGTAATGTGTCGAACAAAAAGCAGATTTACCCTCGTCAAATGGCGTTTCAAAACAGCTGTATCTTCCTCCTTTTGATTTTTTCCTGTTTTGTGAGCTTGAAAGCAGTAGGAGAGGGATCGGGAAACTCAGAAAGCACTTCGGGAATTAATCTGCCATTGTTTACTTACGGGATAAACAAGTAAGATTTGTGAAGTTCATCGCAGTATGAAGTCTAAATAAATGCCCTTTTTAAGCTTGTTCGCTGGATTTTTCGTAAACTTCCCTAATTGATTTTTCGTTTCAGCTTACTAATCTATACTATTTCAAAGCAAAGAAGTTTTCAGAGAAAACCATGAGTCGGTCCTTTCAATAATTGTAAACAAAGTGTTTGAGCAATCAGGTATACGAGGTATAATAATCAATAGCCATATATCAGAAGTCTTCAGAAAGAAACTATTCTGTTTTCAGAAAGCTGTCAAGAAAGCTAGTAATCGTGGCAATTAAATGCACTTCTTAGCAATTTGGAAACGGGCCCTCGGTATCGATTTAAGGTGTATTACAACGAGGTTGATGTACATCAGCTTAAAGATGAGAACAGCCAGTTCAGGGGAGAAAAAATAAAATTAGAAGAATCGTTGGTACAGGAGAAGGCAAGGCGATTGCGAGTGGATAAAAAAGCCTGAGAAGCTCTCCAGAAAGCTGAGAAAAAAGGGGCCTTCCGCAATAAAAAATTTATTCAGTTGGCCAAAAAAGTGATTACAAATGGGAAAAAAGGTAGAGGCCCAGCTAAGAAGAAGTTTAATGACTATTCTAGGAACCATCAAAAGAGAATTAAAAACCAACTGAAGGAGGAGTGCCAAACTGCACTCTCCTTTCTTGGGCTGTACAATTTTGTTGCAACCAAAATTGAAGTCCTCAACACTGAGACTAATCAATATGAAACTTTCAATCTTGTTGGAGAGGGAGAGCTGCCATTTACAGAGTCTGACCCAGAGGCCCTTAATAATGATGACATTGATAACATAAATATGTGGCTCTACCTCAAAGATAAATTCATTATTTCAAATGAGGCCTGGCATGAAATTGCCATTAAGGCTGATGATCTCCCCAATATATATTCCATCAAGAAGCAAATTAATGAGCTAAACAGTGAATGAAACTTGAAACCAACAACAGGAGATGCTGAAGGTGTTCAGTTAGGATTTTCAGAAAGCTTGCAAGAGCACATTGTTACCCAGGTAAAATGTTAGGCGGGATATAGGCGGGATCCCGGCAATCCCACCCAGGATCCCAGGTGGGAATGGCGGGATCCCGCCTTAGGTGGTGGGATCCCACCTTTCCCACCTGGGATGAAAATTTGATCCCACCTGGGATCCCGTATTTAATGCGGGATTCCTGCATCCCACCCAGGATCCCAGGTGGGAATGGTGGGATCCCGCCTTAGGTGGTGGGATCCCACCTTTCCCACCTGGGATGAAAATTTGATCCCACCTAGGATCCTGTATTTAATGCGGGATTCCTGCATCCCACCCAGGATCTTAGGTGGGACTTATGCATTCTAGCCGGGATCCTGGTCGGGATTTACATATCCCACCTGGGATTCTTTATTCCACCCACGAAAATATTGTTTTGCTGTTTTTATTCTTACAAAACATTTTTGTGAGAGTTCCAATACTTATGGATCATCCACACACTCCGCAAATATTTGGCATGCGGACAAGACAGAGGTGGTCACTGTTCCCTTCGAGAAAATACACCTTTTAAATGACTTCTTCGATTTGCTTTATTTGAAACTCTGATCTGAAAATATTTTTAAAACAAGACTTGTTAGTAGTGAGAAGTACAAACCAAGTTTCTTTTCATAACTTAATTTCTTAAATGTCCCAATCACTGGACCTCCTTAAAAATATTACTTCTTTATATTTTTGGTGCAAAATACAATTCCTTCTTTACATACAAATGAAAAGTACAAGTCACAGTTCAATAATAACAGCTCTAAAGTTTACTTGTAGTTCTTCTCTGAGTCAGCGATCAACAAAATTATTCTATACCTTGTAGGTCTGATATAAAATTTTACTTGTAGTATAAAATGACAACCTTGTATCTTCGTCCTCTCCACCCCTTTCCAAGCTCGGGAACGCTTCGGACTGTGCATAACCATTTGCAGACGAGAATTCCAATGCACCTCTGTAATCGCATGTAGTTGCTTCTGTCTCTTGTGCAAATGTTTTCTCCGTTATGAGACGCACTTGACTCTGTTGGCACCACTGCTAGTTCATTGGAAAGACCGACTGAGGAATCGAGATGGCTAGCTGTGTTGGAACGTGTTGATGAACGCTTGTTGTGGTCAAGCCTTGTTGATTTGGTTACTGGTACACTGGGATCATCTAGGTATCTCTTATACTTCCTAATGTGATCGGCTTGTGTTGTTTCTCACCTTCGCCGTGAACATAACTCAAGTGGGTTTCGAGTCTTTCTTTCCTCGAAAACTTTCGGCCACAAATCGTGCATTCTTGTTCGATTCTTGTCGATTATTTCTACATAGAGTGAATTCACATCATTATTTATGTCATCATCAAAACATGAATCCAAGGTATCCACCATCCAAGAGAGGAGAACCGGTCAGAAGAGACAGAATAATGTTGCGCGCTTCTCTTGAGACTGCAATAGGTCAAGCCAGCGGATTCTCTTTGCTAAAAAGTCCACGTGATCATGCCCGTGATCGGAAACAGAGACAACTCCATTTGGCGCTCATCTTTGAATGTACTTTTCATCGGTTAACCGCTCTTGCTTCAAGTTGTTTCTTTTCTCAACTGTTTTGCTTAATATAACACTTCTAAAAATGGGTTTAATTGTGGTTCAATGGGAAAACGAGGAAAGCGTGAGTGTTTTAAATGAAAAGAAAGTCGTTGGCGCCGTGGAATTAAAAGAAGGGACAATTAACAGTTGACATATCGACTGGTTCAAACAACGATCGAGTGGCCATTTAAAGCTAGGATTTTTAGAAGTTTGTGGTGAGTACAAATTGCCATATTCGTTACGTGATTAAAATCTTATCAAAGAATAGAAATAACGGCTTGAATTAAGCTTACCTAACGCTCAGCGCAACTGAAACTCAAATAATTCTGAGAATCGAATTGGTCACTTGCACGCTGCAGTTTCCTAAGCTTACACTTTACAATGAAATAAATCTATGAGTAAGGTTTCAAGATTACTTTAGTCACATTTGGGAACATTCTGACCTTGCTTTGCTTTGAAAAATTTGACTGAAGAGAGAGCAGACTTTCAATCGGTACCTTTGTCAAAATTTTGATAACATGAATTATTGAGGTTTTGTCTTTCTTCTATTCTATGATACACAACAGCCAATTTTTTAAACGTTGAGCCTTATTACACTGTAGATGGTCTGCTTAAATGATGAAGAAAAAGTAATATGCTGAGTTGTGCTGTTATTCTTTAAAAATGTTCGGTTAAGAAATTTGTTAATGAAACAAGTCAAACACATGCTGGTTCATTGCAAATAAATTATGAGATCTTTATCACATATAGTCTGTGTATTCATTTACTGTTGGAATCATGATCAACAGCTTGGTAAGACAATGGGATCCCATTGGAGGTGTTAGTATGTTCTATAGCTAGTTGGAAAGTTTTGGACCCTCAGTGGATTGATGGGGTCTATGGCTCACCTAGAAAATTTTATCCTCTTAATTTTACGGATTAGGTTACAAAAGGAATTGATAAGATATCCTATCTGATACATTTCATAAATCTGTGGTCTCCAGTGATAAACAGGATCCCTCAAGGGATTTTTCTGAAAGTGGGAAGCCATCTGTAATTTTATGCAGGGTCTAAACTGGGATTGGCAGGATCCCAGATGCAATCCCACCTGGGATATGATTTCCCAGGTGGGAAACTATCTGAAATTTGAGGCAGGATCCCGAGAGGGATTGGTGGGATTCTAGGTTTAATCCTGCCCGGGATGTGCTTTCCCAGGTGGGATGCTATTAGGAATTTAAGGCGGGATCCCAACTTCAATTGGCGGGATCCCAGGTGGGATCCCATGCAGGATGTTCCATAATCCCAGGTGGGATCCCATGCGGGATGTTCCATAATCCCAGGTGGGATCCCAGGTGGGATCCCATGTGGGATGTTCCATAATCCCAGGTGGGATCCCATGCGGGATGTTCCATAATCCCAGGTGGGATCCCATGCGGGATGTTCCATAATCCCAGGTGGGATCCCATGCGGGATGTTCCATAATCCCAGGTGGGATCCCATGCGGGATGTTCCATAATCCCAGGTGGGATCCCATGCGGGATGTTCCATAATCCCACCCGGGATCCCACCTGAAAAAGGCGGAATCCCACCCGGGACACACCTGGGATCCCAGGTGGGATTGGCGGGATCCCACCTTATATTTTTACCTGGGTTGCTATTATAAAAACTACAGAGACATATGATAATCTGAGAGACAGCCTAGCAGACCTTCGAATGGAAATGTCAAACTTAAAGGAGATAAGTGCAAATAATTGCACCTATAAAATTGAATACTTTTTGGGTGGAGATTTGAAATTTTTAGCACTGGTATGTGGTTTAGGCAGGGCAAATGAGGATTATGCTTGTGTGTGGTGCAAGTGTCCCAGGGAGCAAGAGTGGGACACAAGCAAAACATGGTCAATTAATGACCCCAAATTTGGTGCTAGAACTGTCATCAAAATAGCAAGGTTTTCCACTGGAAAGAAATTAAACTGTAAGGCACAACCATTATTTGATTTTATACCTATGGACCATGTCATCATAGATACATTACATTTTTTTCTGAGGATTTCAGATGTTTTGATTAACTTGTTCATAAGAGAGCTGAGAAGAAGTGATGCTATTGAGAAAAAAAAAACCTCTGATGGATTCCCAAGGGATAAATATAAACACATGGCATGTTATGAAGAATTTATCAAAAGTATGGGAATCACTTTTAATTTTAGAGTCAACAAAGAGAGCAAAAAGCTGGACTATAGAGATCTTACTGAACCAGAAAAGTTAAAACTCTTTCAGAATATAAACATTCCAACCTATGCTTGTCCCTCATTGCAGTCAAAACGAATACATACAAGTGATCTGGGTTAAATTTTTGGACATAATTGGTGATTTGAAGCTAGATTTTACATCTGAAGAGGGCATTCTTGAACTGCAAAGAAATATCAAATCATGGTTTGAGCACTTTCTCAAAGTTTACCAAGCAAATGATGTCACTCCCTACATGCATGCACTATGTTATCATGTTCCTGAGTTCCAGTCACTTTATCAGAACATAGCATGTTACACACAGCAAGGCTTGGAAAAATACAATAGTAGAGCTTCTAAAGATTTCTTCAGATCCACAAATCACAAAGGGGTTGATGCCCTCAAACAACTGTTTCTGAAGAAAAACAGGATTCAGTTCCTGGAGGCAGCAGGTTATGAAAGGGTTAAGAACACCTACAACGATGACCTTGTATTCAATGATTAAACTTCTTTGTGCCAGCCAATACTTAATAGTTCCTGAAATTACATAGGCAAAATCTTCAGCTACATTTAAAATTCTTTCATCCCACTTCAGCCCCAGATATGAATCAAGCACCCTATTTGACTCCAACTGGTAAACCATCTTCCCTCTTTGAAGAACGCCGGGCAAAACACTCCCAAGACCTTCCATGAAAATATCTTGGTCAACATTAAGGTCTATGTTTATATCAGGGTCCTCACGCCGTCCAGACCAAAGCTTTTTCTTTATTTCACGAGCAAGTTGGCCATGGAACGATTCTTTTCTATCTCCTTGAGAGTTTTCCCAGGGAATGAACAGCTTTTCACTGCGAACAAACGGAAAAATATCCAGATCCTCTATCGGCCCTGAAGGGTGTCCATTCAACGAAGCATATGCTATAGCCAACGTAATGAATTTTCAACCTCTCCCTGATCTCAATATCATAAAGTTTTGTATCTTTCTATCGTGGATTCGCCTTTCTAACGGGGGTGTATGTTAAGTATTTATTGCAAAATCGCTTTACTTTTTTTAATTTCCCTCTTTGACCTGTCCGCCATTTTGAAAATTCGCAACGGAGAGCATGTGCATTAAGTAGGCTTAGTGGACGCGTACACCTGGAACCGAGAAAAACAAATGTTCGTCGCGCTTGGGAAAGAGTTTGATATGTGAAACATCGCAAGAGACTCGCTAGCTTTAATGACTACTTTCAGTGACTAGACGTCAAAACAAGATGAAACGAGGGTCGAAACCGATGCCTGTTAAACGGCGAAGCGAAAGTTTTTTGGATGTGGCGGAAGAGTTAAAGCTGCTATGTGTCAAAGAGGAGGTTACCGACATGGAAAGGGCAAAGGAACTGCGCGAAAATAGAGTCGCTGAGTTGAGGAAATCAAACGGAACTCTGGAGATGGTAAGCTCTTATTGATCAATTGAGGCCAAACACACATACCTCATAAAACGGAAGACATGCAAAACTAAAACTTTTATATTTCATCAAACTAAAAACCAAATTAGTTGCATGGCCGTACATATGCAGTGTTTTCCAGATCACTGCCTCGCTAATGGAATGTTATAATTTGCGTCAGACAGCAGACCTAGGAGAATTCATTCTGTTAAAATCATAAAGGTGTACACAAAATGTCAACATTGACGCAGACGTATGTTTTTTCCAATTTTTCCGGTGCGGTATGCACTAAGTTTCATTTAGACTTCCATATTATACATAATTCATCAAAATTTGAAGCGAAATTAAGATTTAACATCATAATTGATCATGAACGTTAATTTTAAGGACCTTGTTTTGAAATGAAAAGAGCATTATCTATAGAATGATTGCGACAGACAGCAGAACTGAGTAATTTGATTTCACTAAAAGCATGGAGGTGTAAACAAAATGTCAACATTGGTACAAAGTTATGTTTTCTTTCAATATTGGCTTGTTCTAAGCGCTGATCCCTCAATAATAAGTTTCGTCTATACTTATGTATTCATAGATAGTTCACCCAGGAGCAAGCGCGTCCGTGAAACAATCAAAGTATCAAAAATTTGAGCATGTCAACGGGTAATTAAAAACCAGTTTGCTCGTACTTTACATCGACAATATTTTCATTCCAAACATCAATCCTTTCGATTTAAAATAGGTCGAGGAACGAGCTTAATGGAAGTCAGTTGACAATTGCGCACAGGAACATGAATTTTTATGGAAATGAAAATTAAAAACCGGACGAAGCAGTAGAGTATGCTTACAATATAAATCAACCCAGCGCCCAGGCAAGAGACAAAGAGCAAACATTTTTATGTATGCGAAGCAAAGTATGAACTCTTTCATATTGAAACTAGTTCGTTTATTCTAATCGCTGTGTTCACGAAATGCATAACCAGTTCTGAAAACTTTGTGCATAGAATTTAACCTCCCAGTCGTATCGATATCAGGTGCGCGGACGAAAATATTATCTAGCGATATCCTAGACCCGTTTAAATTAAGATCTTAAGCCTTGAACTAATACGGGTGAATAAACAAAGATTCAGTAAATAGAAGCTGCCAGCATTTAGTTATCCAATACCGACGGAGCAAGCATTTACTACCAGTAATGTTGAATGGCACTTCCTCCTGATCTTTGCGGTTTTCGCAGAAAGTTGATGCGGAAAAGAAGTAGAAACGTGTACATTTGTCATTGCGCATTTGGATGAAACGGAAGCGGAAACGATAAAGAGGCCTGAGAAACCAGGACGACAGCCGTGCACGTAGGTTATGAATTTGAGTGCATTCTGTTGCCCTCGTATGTGAAGCAACAGCGGCTGTAAAATTAGTCCCAATGACTGCAAGTAGTCAGTGCCAGACAGCAGAACTGAGTAATTTGATTTTACTAAAAGCACGGAGGTGTAAAAAAAAAAATTCAACGCTGATGCAGTGTTTTGTTTTCTTTCAATAGTCGCTTTTTCTAATGCCGCATTCACACCAAAGCTTAAACATGTTTAAAAGTTGTTTTGTTAAACACAGTTTAATTTATTTTTTCTTTTTAGAAACTATTTAACCGAATATTTTTGACTTGAATGTAGCACATTGGAAATGCAAGTTAGCAAGTACTTGAATCCAATGGAAAATCAAGTTTTTCAGTGCTCTGTTTATAATTTTCATTCAATGAAAACCAGTTTAACAAAACATGTTTTGCTGGTGTGAATGGGGTATAAGTGCTGATCCCTCAAAAGTAGTTTTCGTGTAAACTTGTGTATTTATAGATGGTTCACCTACGAGCCAGAGCGTCCGTGAAACAATCAAAGTATCTAAAAATTTGAGCATGTCAACGGGTAATTAAAAACCAGTTTGCTCGTACTTTACATTGACAATATATTCATTCCAAACATCAATACTTCTGATTATCAAAAGGTCGAGGAACGAGCCTAAAGGAAGTCAGTTGACAATTGCGCACACAAAACATGAATTTTTACGGAAATGAAATTACAAACCGGACGAAGCAGTAGAGTATGCTCACAATGTAAGTCAACCCAGCATCTAGGCAAGAGACAAAGAGCAAACATTCTTATGTATGCGAAGCAAAGTATTAAACTCCTTCGAATTGGAACTAGTTCGTTTATTCTAATCGCTGTGTTCACGAAAAGCATGACCAGTTCTGGAAACTTTGTTCATAGAATTTAACCTCCCAGTCATATGCATATCAGATGTGCGGACGAAAATGTTATCTAGCGATATCCTAGACACGTTTAACTAAAGATCTTAAGCCCTGACCTGATACGGGTGAATAAACAAAGATTCAGTGGATAGAAGCCGCCAACATTAAGTTATCCAATACCGTCGGAGCTAGCATTTACTACCCGTAATGTTGAATGGCACTTCCTCCTGATCTTCACGGTTTTCGCATAGAAACGTATACATTAGTCAGCAAAGCGCATTAGGATGAAACAAGACGACAGCCGTGCACGTAGTTTGTGAATTTGAGTGCAATCTGTTGCCCTCGTATGCGAAGCAACAGTAGTGGTAAAAAATAGTCCCAATCACTACAGGTAGTTTTAAGATGTGTTCGTCTGTTCGGACGAAGAAAGTTAATCGAGGGCCTCAAATCACCAAATAAAGACACAGCACCGACAAAAATCATTAGTCCCTTTCCTCCTTTGAAAGCATACAAATAGGCATATCACATAAATCAAAATATCACAGCAATTTTTGCTCTTTTAGGTGCAAACACCTCTGAGAATTTTTTTTTTTTTCAATAACCATTCATTGTTTAGGGATATAAGGGAATCTTAGACGATATCAAGCAAACACTCGATCGCCGACGAGTCCTGGAAGAGTACTATTCAAAAGTTAAAGATAACCTACAGACAACTGGAGCAGTTAGCGAGACTGAAATAAATGACTTTCGGAAGGAAGCTGAGGCATGTCTTAAGGATCTCGGAACCGAGAGATACACTGTTCTCATTCTTGGTAAGTCCTGCAACAGTAAACTTGAAACCTTTCCAATCGTTCCCGGGCCAAATTCAGGGGTTTTTCCTAAGGTTTCATTTGTAAGGTCATGGTTCACCAATCTCAGTTTTAAAAAGTTTCAACTTTTATTGTCAGCATCGCCTTACACCGAAAGGCATGGAACACTCTTCTCCGCCGCTTGGTCTGCGTTATAATTATTCGCCTTCTTAACAGTTATTCAGCTAGCAATCCTCTTGTAATTTTGAGACAAGATTATCACGGAAATGAAAACTATCAATAACAAAAAATAATTGAGATGTGGAAAGAATCAAAATAACTGTCAGTAGATGCTTCAAAGGGTCTTACAGCCGAGGCAAATTGTTAATCATTTCAAGAGGTTAACTCTTGGTGTCCGACAAATTATCTGTCTCTCTTTGATGTATAACATCAGTTAGGATGAAGAAGGTACGAATCTCTTTTTATTCACGGGTATATAAAAGGGCTATATAATTTTCAAATATTCTCCATCGTAGGAGTGGAATTTAATATTCATTGTTTAAAACCTTTCCCATTACACCAAAACAGGAGAAACCAGCGCTGGCAAGAGCAGTCTTATTAACCTCCTACTTGGCGAATGCATTATGCCAACCAGTATTCAGCAGAACACACTGACCATATGTGAAATATCGTATGGAGCGGCCAAAGAAGCTGTGCTGCACTTCGCTAACGGACGCAAGTTAACTCGTGTCCTCACTGGGGACAAATTTTACAAGTATAAAGATTACGTTAAAAAACCGATAGAGGACGAAACCTGGTGTGAGTGGATAGAGATCAGGATTCCAAATCCATTATTGAAGGTGAAAAAACTTTTTGTATTTGGAATAAAAGTAACAGAGGTATTTTACGTATATGAAACAATTTGGCATGGAAGAGCAAGAATTCCTAATAAAACCTGAAAAAAAATCAAAGTTTCTCACTGTATAAGGCTTTGCTGGCACATGAGCTATAGTCTATCACAGAAATATTTTTTTCTTCCCTTCCTCGCTGTTGCATAAGGATAACATCACAAGTGAAGTTATCGGACATGTATCAAAACATATCTAGGATTGAGATCATTTTTAGTGTCTTGTATCCTCTGACGCACAATGCTGTCAATGTGCTGTGTTATGCTGTGCCATTCTTTTCTGTATTGTGCTGTGGCTCGCCCCGATAGTGACACCGAAGCTCCTGGTGAATAAAAGAATCGCAGTAGAAGTTTATGAACAACCAAAAAACAGAAAAACGTGATTATTGTTGTGCATTCATTTAGTAGAGACACTCACTCTTTAATTGCTTTCTATATTCTGTCTTTGTTCATCGATTAAGTATCCAACAAGCTGGTACAATCATGTTACTTGATTACAGTACTTTGGTAGTGTGACAGTGATATCACCAACATTGGCAAACTTTTAATATTTACCCAATACACGACGATTATCTCTTATTCAATTAACTATATCCACTGAGGTTCTCGGCTGCTCTCTCTCCTAGGGTGGTGTAGTGATCGTAGACAGCCCAGGAATTGGTGATTCAAAGCGTGTCAGTGAAATCACCTTGAAATACTTGAGTCGAGCTTACGCCTTTATCTACGTAATAAATACTCCAAACGCCGGAGGATTACAACAGGACAGGGTAAACTCATGACTCCTTATCTGTCTAATACACTTTTGAAAAGTAAGAATGTATTTAGGGAAAGATTTTTTTTCGTCTTCTCACGAGAATGTATTTAGTTTAGCATGAGGTATGTGTCACTTATCAAGACGCACCACCCAATTTTAATTAATTCTAAAAAATGCCCCGAGAGCAAATATGATTATCCATTCTTTGAATTTTTAGCGTTTGTGATAAATCTTTCAGCTGATGCCTATCTTGAGTGAATGGAAAAAACTCTACAAGGGAAAAGATTGCCGTGGTATCACTTCGGAATCTGCTATTTTTGTCTGTAACAAGTGGGACGAGGTGGAAAAGCGGTCCAACCGAAATCAGAAGGAAGATCTTGAAAGGCAAATTATCGACACTCTCAGAAAGAATATTCCCGAACTGGATGAAAAATTCCAAATCATAAAGATGTCAGTCTCTAGAGCTACAGAAGTAAAAGAGAGATTTGAAGTGATGGATGATGATCTTAAAAGTCTTGTGAATCGACTACAGCGTCTTCTGCCACTCTGCATTGAGAGAAAAACAGAATTTTTTTACTAGTAAGTTTGATTTTATCTCCCAATTGATTACTCAAACTATCCTATACCTTGAGCACACGTTACTGAACAAAAATTTTTTTCAAGTTCCCTCAGCCCTCGTGAATAACTCTATTTGAGAAACCTGCGAATAAAGAGTATTCTAATCCAACGAGATATGACACTTGTCCATTAAAGAGGGCGTAGCAGATTTCCTATGATTTGAATATCCTTTTTATTGTCGAAAGGAGCTACAGAAATATGTCGCCCCAAAGAAACATTCAAATCAACACATTACGATGTTTCTAAGTCGTGTTTAAAATGAATATTTGCACAATTTCGAAAATGATACCAAAATACTAAGCTTGCTGAAATGTTAACCTACTGGTTTTGTTAAGCTAAGAATCAATCCAAAAGACTGCTGAGGAAAAAAAATGAACTGAGTCGCATTTTACTCTGAGATAAAAAAGAACGCTTTTTAACAAGTGTTAAATTTCTGCTCTATTTGACAGCTGGATCAGCGGCCAGCTCTGCAGCTTGTCCGATCAGCTCAAAGGTGAAATGCAAAATGCCAAAAGGACCAAAGACGAACGTCTCAAGGCTCGGAAAGAACTTGACGATAAACTCAGCGAACTTAAACAAGGCACCCCCATTCGGGAAATTGAGGACGCCATAACTTCCAGTGTGGACCAAGCACAAATAAAACTTGCGTCCTACTTACAAACTGAAGAATTTAGAACAAAATTTTTCAGATGGACAGAAGACGATGTGCCTAAAACGGAAGAGGGTCAAAACTTTTCAAAGATGAAGGAAGCATTTACCGCATGCATTGAACAACGATTCGAATATACCCTCCAAAAGTGGGAAAGCACAGATAATGTTTTCTCCCAAGCACATTTAGAATTGGAAGCACTGTTTGACAAAGGTTTCCTAGAATTTGAGAGAGAAATTCGAGACATTGACCGTGTACTTGTCGGAAGTGACGTGGACGACTTCCAACATTTTGAGATTCGCCCGGGACGGATGTTCTCGCCATTAGATCCCAGAATGAAAAAATTTCTAGTGATGACTGGCGTGATTTTTGGCCAGTTTTGATGTCCGTAGGCCTCGCCGCAGGAGTTCTTTCTGCACCCGTCCTTGGAGTACTGGCGATTGGAAAGCATCTAAAGGATCACCATCTGAAGACCAATTGTTGTCAGACACTAAAAGACCTCTCAGCAGAGTTCCTCGAGGACTTCATCACTCACAAAATCCGCAGTTATGTCCAAGACAAATTCAACGAGGAGACGAATCGCATTGCCAGCATCAAGAGGTGTCACCAGCAATTAATCACCAAATACGAGCAACGATGCAAAGACCTGACAAAGAGCGAAGATGAATCAAGGGAAAAGGAGATCCTCAATAAATACCGTCCACTGTACACAAATTTGATGAGCATGAATGAAAACTTGATGTTCGATGCAATCCAAAATGGAATGAAGGTGATGTACCCATCTTGCCAGCTTGAAGTGAGAAGACTTCAGTACAATGAGAGCGAAAGAGAGGCGTGCCTTGGTGAAGGCAGCTTTGGTAAGGTTTTAAAAGGAAGATACTCTCCTCCTGGACACAGAAGAAAAGATGTTGCGGTCAAAAAGATCCGGAAACATCCAGATCCATCAAATGTTGCCGCCTTTCTTTAAGAAGCAGCAATGCTAAAGTAAGATTTTTTTAAATATCAGATTAGCCAGCGATCGTGCAGAGGTTGAAGCGCTCAACTTCTAAGGCCTAGCTTCGATTCTCGGTCTGGTGTTACATATGATTGACCTTGGTATTAATTCTTGTACTTGCCTTTAGGATTTTTCTCAGGGATTATCTGGTTTTCGTTCCTTTATTATATCTAATGCTAAACTAACGCAATTTAGTTTGGAAGAGCAATCGCTTAGCCATTCTGTAAAAATTGTCTTGGTCTATTGAGAGTCAATTGACTGATTACAAGTTCACTTGATTTTATCCCTTCTAATCTGCAGATTAGGAACTACTATTTTGTGCCAATTGCAATTTATAGTCCGTTTTGATCTTTCTGCTATTCAATCTGGTGTGAGTTTTCAAGTGAGGTATTAATTTTGACACCATATTTTTCACAGGCAACTTGAGCACAAGCACATCGTAACATTTTATGGAGTTGGCATGGACGTTAAAGAACGAAAACTCGTTTCCCTGGTGCTGGTGTTCGACTTGTGTAGCAGGAGCCTAGACAAGCAAATCTTTGAAAACGACGAGTACATTCCGTGGAAGACGGCTAGTGCAGCAGCTAAGATAGTACCCTGGGCAAAACAAATTTTAGATGCGCTTGAATTCATCCATAGCAAGAATGTTGTCCATCGAGATCTCAAGCTGGCCAATATTCTGGTGAGTTGATAGAAAATGAACTATGGTGAATTATAAACCAGGTAATGAAATGAACAAGCATTCCTTATCGTCCTATCATGACCATAGGACGACACAAAAAATTGTGGTGAGTTTATGAGTGGAAATTAGGGAATCCTCCCATGAACCCGGTAAAAAGGGCTGGGTGAACTTTTCCAGTATATCGCTGACCACTTCAACAGTAATCTGACTAAAAATTTCGACTTGGAAATAATTGTAAAATTGTCTAAAGCAAAAAAAATCCAATGATCACATGAGCTCGGATGTCAGGTTCACATGTTGGATCGTACTCTGACTTCATTACAAGGGCAAACAATATTACGACGGAACACATTACTTACTTAATAATTCATTTCGTTCGAAATGATTAAACTCCAATTTTTTGGTCCTTTGGAAAATTTGCATGCAAGATTCTCCAATTTGATTCATGCTTATGAAATCGGGATAAGCTGCAGCAAGACGAGTCTTCTAGCTCCTAAGCCACCACTACCTCCGTTTTAAAATTTGCCATATACAAGCGTGGCACAGGGGCAAAGTGTTTCACCTAAAGCCGTATTAAATATCGATTCTCTTTTTGACTGAAATTTCCAGGAAATTAACATTGCCCGACATTATTTGTAGATTTCAAAACGTGAGCACATCAAAGTTGCAGACTTAGGTCTAGCAACCTTTAAAGACAAAATCACTGGCACAGTGTGTGGGACTCCTTTATACATGGCACCGGAAGTGATGGAAGGCAAACTCCACAGTGCAAAGGTGGATATATACAGTTTTGGTCTCATGATGTGGGAAATGTGGTTTGGGAAACGCGTCTTTATCGAACTACGCCGTGAAGATATTTATAGACGAATTAAAGACGAGCATTATCGTCCTCAAATTCCCAAGGATGGAAATCTCCCTCCAGCAGAATGGATTGAGCTCATGACATCGAGTTGGCAATCTGACCCAAGTTTGAGGGGAACAGCCACAGAATGTAAGAACTTTATTAAGACAATTAAACATCAGTATTTTAAGTAGGGGAAAGGTTGATTTTCCTCGCTTTGCGTGTACAATAATTCTAAGTTATTTTCGAACAACTGACAGCCACGTTCAGATAAGTTAATCCTCATGAACCGAGAGAGAAGATCGGGCGAGATGAAATATTACTAGAAATTCTGCTCGACTCGGCAAGAGAGACTGGCCCATTAGCCCGTCACGTAGATTTTTGTAGTGAGCCAGGGGCGTCTTTCATTTTCATCGATTGATGGTTTGTCCCTGGGACTTCAAGCATGAAGCATGTTTGAATCACTCAGCGATCATTACATGAGAACTGCAATTGAATTTTATAACACTTTTGTTATCATTATACGAATATTAAGAATCGTAATTCTGGCATCTTATAACAGCGAGAAAAGTTACAAAGTAGAGTAACATAGTAGACATTTGAGTTTTACTATGAAGTTAAACAATCTAGGTTACTCATTTGGGAAGACGTAGAGCAAGTTCCTTCAAAGCACAAGCACAACACATGCTCGGTTGGATTCTGTCGGTATGTGGGGCAAAAAATGATTTAGACATGGAACGAGACAAGCCTAGGTATTTTTAGATTATCATCAACATTTTGGCTGCCCGGAATTTATCTCATCGACGAAGTTTTCTTTGTTCATTAACGGTCAACGCAAGTAGCTCAAGCTCCCACGATTAGGCTCGGTATAAATAATGATGGTGTAAATATATGTTAATGTTACGCAATAGGCGAAATGTTAGGATTCGTATAGGTGTATACGGTCACGCTCTTGACCCAAAAATCTGAATTAGTTTTCAATAAAACTACACTTTCATTACCTCTTTGTTTTTTCCCTTTGCATGTTGTGAGTTCTCTTGTCAGATTTTCGGCCGTTCAGCGCGTTCCATGGTTCTCCTGATTTACCCTTAAAAGGATCACATAGTTCTCCCAGTACTCAACTCCCAGCCACAGATAATTTGAAAGTTCTTCATTGAGACATTTCAGCCCATGCAAACAAATGGGCTAAAGTTTTCAGTAATGTTCACATTTTAAATCTATAATAATAATATCACGCAACTCAAAAAGGAATTTAAAACGCATGTAAGGCGTAAACATTTAATTGACTATTTCCATAATTATCAACTGTGACGAGTGAAGTACACGTGATTTTCTTTATTCTGTTTTAAGTGCTCTTGGGACACACTTACCAAGAAAAACCTGCCAAATAATGTTTTGGACCTGATATACCAACCTTTCATTTTCAATTCGTAGAAATGTAATATTACAGTGGTTGCGCGACTCGATCTCGTGACCGCTGATTCACTGTAACCACATATCATCGTAATAAACACCTATTGAAATCCTATTCAAAAGGTACAGATGTCATTTAAACAGACGCGTAACGCGATCGTATGTATTTAATATGAATCAAGAAATTCGAAATCGCACGCAATTTTTCGGTAAATTCTAATGAAAAACAGTCAAATGCGACTCCCTTGCTCCTTACATTCATGCAGCTTCTGCTTCCTGAGCACATTTAGCTGATCGGCGGATGTGTTATTTTCGTGATAGATCCTTTTCGATGATGATATCTGTCAGTTGATATCCATCGGTGTTGACAGGTCTAAATTAGGTCAACCTTCCTCATTCCTTTTTCATTCTAGTTAGTTCAGGGTGTAGTCGTTTATGCTACACCTCTCCTTCACCTTCTCGCTTCTTTGGTTTGCATGGTGAGTAAGGTGCAGCAAGAGATTATGTTCAATGATTTCAACTAATTCACAATCAAGAATCGGAGACGGATTCGGAGTTACGTTTTTTGGAATCTCTTAACGCTTTTTAACACTACCCTTGTCATTAGAAGGAATCTGCAACAGTTAAGTTGACAATGGCGGCGAGAACAACACACGAACCTCTTAAAGAGGTAAGCCAATACTCCGGATTCGGAGTTACCTTTTTTTTTTCAATCTCTTGGCGCTTTTTAACACTACCCCTGTCATTAGAAGGATTCGTACAATGCCGGCGAGAATAATACACTGACCACCCAAGAATAAGCTAAGATCCGAGCATGTCGACGCACAATTTTAAGTACATGCAATTTAAACGTCTCTTACTGCTTATGCAAATTAACAGGCTCTAGTTCTCGGTAATATTCCCTTTTGCTCTGCGATAACAACAACACGAACTCAGAGAGGAAATAGTGCTTGGAGTAAGAATACCTTAGAGGTAAACACGGGAAGCAAATCAATTTTATAATAGAATTTTCCATATTCTAAACACTCTATGCATGATAATCAGTTGTTCCAAGTTTGGAAAACACCAGAATGGTACGTTCCTTTTGAAATCGACCACGAGTGATCACTTATGCAAACGCTTTCAGACATTAAGTATCACTGCTTCGATGACTTTCTTTCCCGAAGAAATTTATCGGACGAGAATGGTAAAATACTAAAAGATCCCTGGTGTCTTCGAAGCAGACTTGTGGCGGTTCCACCGACAGATATGCTTAAAATTGTCTAAAAACCATCTTTTATTGCCCATTCACGTACTTCTTCCCTAAGTCAAAGACTCGTACAGCTGCAGTTTGCCTAGTTTTACTTCTATTTGCTGTACTTCAGCAATTTCATAGTGACAAATATTTGGCCTTCCTTAACTTGAGCCACGCAGCGGTAACTGGATTTTTACTCGTACGCACGAGAGGATTGTAAGAGATGTGCCCTACTTTCGCAACTTTTACCATGTACATGTGCAAATATCGACAGCAAATCTATGCAATGACGAGATTTTTTATCGTTTAATTTTTAGCTTCAGCAATTTAAAAGCTCTCTATTTATCTATATCTATAGCAAAAGCAATGAAATAGCCTCAAGTTTTCCATGATATTCTTATTTTTTGCTCTTTAATAACAATATCATGCAACTTAGACAGGAACACTTAAAATTGCCAGCCGACGTAAGGCGTAACCCCAATAGGGAAGTCAAGACACCTTGTTCGGTGGTTTAACAAATGTTACTTGGAGTATTTTGCGAGTTGCGCAATGAGCGAAATGCCCACTCGTATTATGTGTTAATCCCTTGCGGAATAAGGCGTTTATTACTCTACTATTTATTCCCGTTATAGATTATTTTGGCCACTATTTTTCTAAATATATCCTTTTGTCTATCTGAGCATAGTATCGATCGAATGCAGCCAGCGTGAGAGAAAAAACTAAAAGTGAAACCACTGATTGAAGTATTTTTTATCACCAACAAAACAAGATTATCATGCGTTTGAAAGCTCCTTGCTTTAAAC